GTAAGGTACCTTAAGGTGCCTTACGCAGTTAGGTAGGCAAGGTGACAGTCTGTGTGCATCTACACCGCCTAGGACGGTCATACTTGAGGCACCAAGGGCAGCCCAGATACAGCCGGCCCGGCATTGTAAAAAAGTAGATGGCCCTCAGACAACATGCTTTACCTACCTTAGGTACCTTGGCACGTCTAGGCGCGCTGCAGGTAGGCATGACCCTAAGGTAGCTCGGTTAGAAAGATATCGAGTCTCTTCTAGACGTAAGCTGGCCTCTTTAGTGCTTGATTCAACGAAGATACCAAGGTAGATAGGTAGGTAAGGTATCCAATTTCCGTACTGCTGGAGAGCCTATGGTTGCACGTGACCTGCCAGAGGTCTCGACCTGGGGAGAAGTAACTAAGATAGCACCCTCACAGGGAGAGGCATCTAGGAAGGTACTTACTGCGAAGGCATTCAGTATTGGGCTAACTACCCCGAATGCCCTTGGGCCTTTTACGTAGTATGCCTGCCTGCCTTGGTACCTAAGGTGCCTACCACCCCCGCTCTCGTCCTGCCCGCCTGAGGTACTTTCTTTGCTACCGAAACGGATACCTTATTACAGGTGATTTCCCTAAGGCAGACATGCTTGACGTACGAACACGCTAAACTCAGCCTAGCCATCCACTGACACTTGAGTAGGTCGCCTTATGTAATGAAATGGTTACTCGGCAACGGTACCAAACAATATTACCTTGGCCGTCTGCTCATCAATCGACCGACCCGTCGCCCGAATACAGCTATTGACGCCAACGTGGCTCTCAATCAACTCCAGCTTTCCAACACCAAAATTCAGAAGCGACACATTGAGGTTGTGCGCAAAGATACCCAAAGGCTGTTAATGAACCTTGATTCATTTTTCTACTATTTAGTAGCCCGGATCGACCGCATGCAACGCCATACCTCTCTTGAGTCTGTTCCTTATTTAAAGGCGTTAACGCACTCGTAGGCATCATGCCTACATCGATGGCGGATGGGCCAAGTGTGGCTCTATCATGTATGTTGGGGTTCTATATGTCTGCAGCAAAGCAGGAGCTTACCGACCCGACATTTAGTTGCGAACAACTTCTGGGGAAAGGAAGATGCTGGTGTAGGCCCTTTGCTGGACCGCATGCTCGCTGCGAAGCAAACATGTGATGAATTGAAATCTTTCTACAGCGGCAAGTAACACGACTGGATCTGTCACAGCCGAAAGCTAATGTCCAGTGCAGCTCGTGCCTCTATCGAAGACGAATACTCCCGAAAACTACTCTCTTTGTGTCGAAAATCATTAGGATCCCATGAGTCAGGAAGTCTGAAGGTTTCCCTCGACACCGTTCGAGGCGAGGTCGAATCGATGGCGAAGCAACATCAGAACATCGCAGCGCAAATGAAGACAGAATTGGAAGAGCCTCTTGCCGCTTTCGCGGGTGGTATGAAGGAGAGAAGGAAGATTGTGCAAAACGGCATTGAGAAGATCCTTAAGACGAAGATACAACAAACACAGCACGTCAATAAGGTCAGTTCTGATGATGCCCCCAAATCCGAATTGGCCCATGAGTCTTCCGGGGTCGGGTCTCGAGACGAGTCACGCACTGACGAATACGATAGACGCGGGACCGATTCGAGCAGGAGTGTCTCAAGATCAAGGGCTACCTCGCTCAGGGTCACATGGTTATGGGCCAAGAGGAGCGGAAGAATAAGGCGAAGCTAGAGAAGACGCAGATCAGCGTTGCGACGTCTAATACTGAGTACGAGAATGCTGTGAAGGCACTTGAGGACACGACAGTGAGGTGGAATCGAGAGTGGAAGGCAGCTGCGGACAAGTTCCAAGATTTGGAGGAAGAGCGTCTCGACTTCACAAAAAGTAGCTTGTGGACGTTCGCCAACATATCTTCCACTGTCTGCGTCAGCGATGATGCCTCTTGCGAGAAGATCCGTTTGTCACTGGAGACCATGGATGTTGAAACGGACATTATCAGCTTCATCAAAGAACAAGGAACGGGCCAAGAGATCCCAGATCCGCCAAAGTACATCAATTTCTGTCGAGGAGATGTTAACGACACGCAATCGGAAACGTCGGACGACGACAGCTACTCCGTTGCCCAATTTCCAAGGAGTATAAACCCGGCATTCAGATCATCTTCACCGCAACCCTCTACATACGAATCGCACCACGATCCCAATTCAAGTCTTGCTCAGGACCTAGGACACAAAGATCCACCTTCGGCTACTCCCAGAACCGTTGTTGCTCCTGATTCAAGGCGTCAAGATGCAAGCCCTCCTACGACTAGGCAACTCGCTCATGACACAGCACCAAAGGATGCCAGCTCCTCTTCCAGAGGGTTTGGATTAGATTCGGGCCACAAGGATGCGAGCCCAACCGCAAGGAGCTATCTGCAAGACACGGGTCGGCGAGAAATCTTACCCCCTCATACTCGCGAAGCACCAGTTGCTGTACAGAGACCTTTGGACAAATCGCGGCAGGCAGCCCCGGCTGCTCACCCTCCGGCTCAACAGCAGCAGCAGCAACCAAGCCGGCCTTCTCTTGATATGAGTCAGCGTGGATCATTTGCACCAGTCCCTCATGATCCGTACCCTCTCGACGGCATGACAATGCTTTGCCGTACCGGCCCACCCTCGGAGCGTAGCTCGCACCCGCCCTCAGCCAGGCCTTCGAGCCGCGATTCCCTCAGCGATTACTCGAACCCAACCTCGCTTTCAAGCCAAGAGCCAGCAAGCGGTAAAGTATCGCCTCTTAAGCAGGAACCAGTGAGTGGAATTCCTGTCTCGGATAAACAAGTTCTCAAGAAACGGAGTGGCTTCTTCCAAAATCATAGTCCATTCCGTCGCAAGAGCACAAAGGAATCACCAGGCTCGCCGGCGACCAGAAACACCTGGCACCCAGTGACAACTCAAGGAAGTCCGGCTCGAAGGCCCCAACTGCAGACTCAGGAGACATCGAACCTGCTAGGAGACAGATCAACCATGAGCCCAGAGCCAATTGATGCAAATGCTAGTCTCGCATTGAACGTTGGGCAGAATGTTTTTTCCGTCACAACTCCAGACTTGGAGAAGAGAAAGGGATCCAATGTTCCGGCCGCTCAGCCTGAGACGGATCCAATTGCCCTAGCCCTGGCCGAGCTCAAGGGGGTTGGCGTAGGAAAGCAGTCCAGCGTGCGCGTTTCAGCAGACCGCTATCACGGCATTGCTACTCCGACGCCCGGTTCCCAGCCGTTCTCCAGGTCGGTCCCGGCGGTGGGAAGCAGCAATGCAACGGCCGGAGGACTTCGAGGCACGCCGCCACCCTATGATCAGCAAGTCGTGCAGAGACTTGGAGTACCACCCCAGGCGGTGACAGCAAAGGCCATGAAAGAGACATCGGCCAAATTTACCGACCAGACCCGTAGCATGTTCAACCCGGCCAACCGCCCTGGGTCAAGCTACGGTGGAACGGCCAGCTCGCGGCCAATGACACGAGGTAGCGACGTTCCTCGGGCAGCATCACCTGCCCCCCTTCGAAGCGCTTCCCCGAGAACTGCACCAACGGAAGACATGCGAAGCGGCTACAGAAGCACCCCTCGCACTGCTTCGCCGAGAGCTGGGCCAGCCGAGGATACTCGAGGTGGTTACCGATCAGCGTCTCCTAATCCGCAAGGTTCTCTGGGGCGAGGCTCATCACGAATGAGCAACGTACCCAGAAGGGGGTCAGAACAGCCCTACTACCAGAAGTCACCTAACTCAATGTCGAGAGCGGCGTCTCCGGTTCCTTACTTGGAGAAGATGAGACCGGGCAGCAGCCATGTCGCCAATGAATTAGCTGTCCAACTCGCGCCTGTAGGTGATGAGGGCTATGGATCAGTCCGTGGCCGTGGTGGGAGTCGACCTGGAACGAGCTCCAGCAATCGGGCCATGGGACTCTACGAAGGCGGCGGACCACCGGGACAAGGCGAGTCGAGACAGCGTAGCAAGAGCGTGGCAGACCCATCTCGGCAATATACTCGAGATGGCCGGCCCATTTTGCATTTTGGTAAGTGCTAGCCCTATAACAAGAAGGCGGAGAAGAAGAAGACGGTGCTAACTAGGTTGCAGCAAGGGCTTTGTACGTTTACCAGGCAGCCATCCCAGAAGAACTAGGATTTTCCAAGGGGGACCTTCTTGCCGTCCTGCGTCACCAAGACGACGGGTGGTGGGAAGCTGAAATTCACGGGAGTAATGGACGCATGGGGCTGGTCCCAAGCAATTACCTTCAGCCGTGTTAGAGAAGTTGGGGTTCTCAGGGAGCAGAGTGGTACACGAATGGCCGAGTTGATGAAGATTCATGACATGAGCGAGATTCTCGGGAGTTTTCGAGCTTTGATACGTAGTTTTGGGATATGTCTTGTTGCGGTTTGGAGTTTCGGTTTCCGATGATGCTGTATACTTGCGCTTGGCTGAGAATGTTGGTCCTCTCCACAGACAAACTGAGCACTTAATGAATGAGAGTGAACACTACATTTGTACTTGCGCTATAGGCAGTGGGCTTTCTTGATCCGCGCAGATTGAATTTGGTGAAGATTGACGCGAGGGAGCGGAGGTGCGGCGTCCTTGGGAGTTGGGACAACATGTACGGATACATGCGTCAATGAAAGATTGATCGTATGTCGACGCAAAGAGCGACCATGCCGAATGGAGTCTGCCCACACCTTAGTGTTTTCTGCGCGCGCGGTTGCTTAGAAAGTGAGTGGATCCCATCGCGTGCTGACCGACAACAGTGGCGTCCGCGAAACAGCGCAATACTGAGTTGGACGTCTGACAATCAGGACGGTGTGTTACCTGACATGTGTGTATATAAGTCAAAGGGTGTGCTGTTCTTATTCCGAGTTCATGAAGGCCCAATCCACTAAGTTTCGGTTTTCCTTGTATTCAACCTTCAAAACTAACTTCAAACTTGACATCCTTAGCTGGTAAGACGCTACATACTTACCTCAGTCAAAGGAGACAGAGTTGCAATGGCCGCCAATACTCCGCTCTATACCTACATCTCCCCTCGCGAGGGGTACGAAAGTGCCCCCCCGCTGCCAACCGAGCTCAACGAGGATGGCAAGAGCTTCAGGAACCCACCACGGGAGGGATTGAGCAAGACTTATGAGGAGTTTCCAGCTCCCCTAGACACTGGGAGACAAGGTGGCTTGTAAGGGACCCAACATTGCGACGTACCTACCTCAGAGTACCTTGCTTCGCGCTTATGGTGCTAACCTCCTGTACGCACTGCAGTGACGTCCACATCTACCATTTTCAGAGCAACCCAGAACAAGTAAAGCATGCCAGAGACCTTTGGGAACGTATACGGAGAGAATGTAAGTGTCTGCGACTGATCTGGCTCTAGAGAAAGGTATGGCTGATATTTGCTTCCCCGTCCAGTCCCAGAGCTGAGAATCTATCGATTCTGGGAAAAGCCCATTGGCCCCCACCCCGTGGCCATGTTTGAAGTCAACATCTTCACGCCAGCACAGTTTGGCGCATTCATACCATGGTTGACCATATATCGAGGTCCTCTTTCCGTTCTTATTCATCCCAACACAGTCGAGGAAGGCATTGACCACAATGCCACGGAACTCCGCAATCACACACAAAGAGCTACATGGATGGGCGACAGGTTGCCTCTGGACACCACTATTTTCTACCGCAATAAAAACTAGCCGTGCGGAAAGGACAGCGTAAAGTAGTAAATCCTTTATTTCCATGTCGTTTCGTATTACCTAAGGTACCTTGTCATGTGTATTACCTCATGAACTTCGAAGTGACTCTGTACCTTCAAGACGGCACAGTTGTTGAGAAATTAGCAAGGTGATTAGGCAACGGCCCAAGGTCACGTGGCTTTGAGTGACCCGGCGATTTGATTTCGCCCTGCTGCCTACGGAGTACGGGATGCTGCTACTGCTGCAATGACGTCATGTCTCATGGTTTGTCAGCGACCAAGTACTCAATTCATTCTGCCTACCTATCTCATCTTGAGATATTCAAGTTTTACCTACCGATACCTTCCCTTAACTCACTTACAGAGTCTTCAACCCAATAACTTGCCCTGCCGCAAGGTATCTACGGGAGGTACCTATGTGTGGAAGATACCTAAAGTAGGCGAGAATATATCTAATCACAGTTTATTCACTGTAACCATTCTGCAGCAGACACCCTGATTTCAACCACCTACCTTACCTACTTTGCGTCCTCTTGCCTCGCCTGCCCCTGCGTCCACTGCGTATGGGCTTCCCAACCTGATATAAACATCCACACCAACCAGAGCCACAATGGCGGGCCGGAAACGAACCAGGGCCACCCGGCCCAGGGCCGCAAAGTCCGACGTACCGGATGTTTATCAAGAAATGCTGATGGAGGCTGCTGCGGACGCTGGCTCTCCAGCATTCTCAGAGCCCCCAGCTAAAAGACTAAAGCGACCTGGGGAAGGAAAAGCAGAGGCCGTGAAGTCACAGGCCACAGAAGAGGAGGGATCTGGGGAGGACGACGAAGACGCAGACATTGAGTTTGAAGACGTGATTTTGCCTCCGGCGACCGTCCAGACCATGTACCGAGATTCCGACGACGAGGAGGATGATCTTGATGATGACACCGAAGAAGAAGTCGGAAATGAGGAGGCTAGCAATTTCGCCAATGTTGCCTATGGAGACATACGCCACTTTCAAGAGACTCAGGAAGAATCCCAAAAACTGACTCTCAATCTATCAAAGCATGTCAATGCGACGAGCGTCACAAGGAAAGGTGCCAACAAACGAAAGCCAGTGACAAAGGAAGAGAAGCAGCGGCGCATCACGATACACCAGACTCATCTGCTGTGTCTCCTGCTACACTGTGCCCTCAGAAATCGTTGGTGTGATGATGAACAGGTTCACAAGACCTTGCGTCCTCTGCTTTCGAAAAAAATTATTGGCTACTTGACACCAGGCCCTGATCTTCCCCAATTTGGACAAACAGAGTCCCTAAAGAACGGCCTCGAACAGGCTGGAGCCATATTCAGATCCAAATTCCAAATAACTGAACGGGGCCTGCGTCGACCACTATGGGCTGAAGATCCTGACCATTTGGAAAACGTGAGTCTGTGCCAGGTTACTGCACTCGAAGCAACATGCTAATCCTCTTGCCTTAGTATGAGCCACCTAGCAACATGGATTCATGCTTAGACCGTTCGGACTTCAGAGACGCAGCGAGAAAGTTGTCAGGGTCTCGAGATACTGGCGCACAGTTATACTGTGCTTTGCTAAGGGCAGTAGGAGTTCGTGCGCGATTGGTTTGTTCATTACAGCCGCTGTCTTTTGGTTCAGCCGGTCCCTCTCTGCCAAGGCCCAGAGATGCAAAGCACTCGAACAAGCCTACCAAGGAGGAGAAAATAAGGTCCCAGTTGCTACAATACAAGTCGGCTGTCGAGGAACCTTCGTCTTCGGCATCCGTCTTGACTTCACCGCTCCGTCGATTGGGTCACCCAAATGCCGCTGCCTACAAGCTGCCAACAACATCATCTTCACCGACTCTGCGGCAACAGGTTGAGGGTCCCGTGAAGATTCGCGAGTCGAGCTTCCCGGTATACTGGGTGGAAGTGCTAGACGTGGGCCACCAGAAGTGGCAGCCCGTAGACCCTCTGGTAACAAACTCCAAGTGGAAACCCAGACAGTTGGAACCCCCGGCAACCGACAAGGAGAACTCTATGACATATGTCATGGCTTTCGACACTGATGGCACAGTTCGAGACGTCACGAGGCGATATGCCAAGGCATACACGGCCAAGACACGTCGTCTGCGCATTGAGACAGTGATAGAGCATGGCGAGGGTTGGTGGCGGAAAGCATTGAAGCCGTTCAGCCGGCGTCGCCTGACCGATCTTGACCAAATTGAAAATACCGAGCTGAGTGCGATGGAAGCACGCGAACCGATGCCGCGAAATGTGGCAGACTTTAAAGACCATCCGGTATTTGCGTTGGAGAGGCACCTGAGGCGCAATGAAGTCTTTACGCCAGGCGCGCAGCCGGCAGGAACGGTAGCAGCAGGTAGCAGGGCTCCGCTGGAAAAAGTATATCGACGTAGGGACGTTCGAATTGCCCGGAGCAGGGACAAGTGGTATCGCATGGGGCGCGAAGTCAAGCCGATGGAGGTTCCAATCAAATTTCTGCCGCGAAGGTCCAATGCGAAACTGGGCGAGTACGCCGACGACGGTTACGGTGGGGACGAACGTGATGCCGCAGGAATGCCGGTCTTCACGCAGGATCAGACGGATATTTACCGCGCATCACCGGTCGTCAATGGGCGAGTTCCGAAGAACAAATTTGGTAACATCGACATATATGTGGAAAGCATGGTACCCGAGGGAGGGGTCCACATCCGTGACGAGTTCGACACAGCTGCTAGAGCCGCCTACGTTCTAGGGGTCGATTACGCGCCAGCTCTGTCAGGGTTCCAATTTAAGGGCAAACACGGGACTGCGGTCTTTAACGGCGTCGTGGTTGCGAAGGAGTATGAGGAAGCTGTGCGTGCAGTGATGACTGGGTTCGAGGATGTCGACGCACAGGAAGAGCAAAGCAAGCGATCCTTGGTCGCCATCCGGACTTGGAGACGGTTTCTTGTGGCGCTCCGGATTTTTGAGCGCGTGTGGGCAGGCGTCAAACCCGCGGAGCGGGCCGAGGAAGAAAGAAAGCTGACCGAATTCGTCCGGACCGACATAGATAAGGGGCCGTACAGCTGCGGTACAGGGGAGGGCGGAGGTTTCCTCATTGAAGACAGCGTCATGGTTGACGACGTTGCGCAGACATGGACCAGTGCGGGACTCGCGGGCAGGGCCGATGCAAGGGAGAGCACAAATGGCTCTGATCTAGAGAGAGGTGTTCATTCTGCTGCCCACAACGAGAATATGGGTGAGCGCGCCGCAGATAATGGGATGGAGGTTGACGGAGGCGGTTTCCTGGTTGATACTGATGAGGAGTTTGGTCACATTGATGCGGTTGAGAGAACTGATGGGGTTGAGGCAAGGCCTGAGAGTCAAAGGAAGGAAAGTCTTGGGGCAGAAGAGGATAATGAGGTCGAAGATGTGCTGAGCGATGTGACTGAGGAATACGATATGGAGGAAGATGAGAACGGTAGCGGATTCCTGGTGGATTAGGATTAGGATTGGTGGATGGGCCGAAAGGCTTTGATACCCTACAGAAAGCCGAATACGACTATCGAGGCATGAACCACTTTCCTGCTGCGCCTAGAACAACTTGAAGATAGAGACCAGGCTACCTACCTGGTCATCACAATTAGTGCGAGTTGATGTGAGTACAAAGATGTCTCGTTTTTCTCTACGGCGTCGCCTTGTTAAATTTATTGACTTATTGAAGTAAGGGGAACAGCGTCGAATCATCGTACAGCTACCTGCCATTACTCCTTACAAAAGTACGAACACATGTACTGACGTCAACTCGCACTCGAGAGGATGGATATGTTTCTTCGCGGGTTCACAGCCTACCTTAGCTAAGTGCTATTCCTCATACCTGACCCGTAATTGTTAGTTTGTGTTTGAATTCGTAGAGATCTAGAGGGACGCCTGTCAAGAGGTCGAGCCAGTGAGGTGGCCCAAGCTCCTCGATTCGATGACGCACGGACGGATAGGAACGGTTATGTATTTTCAACGATGGTGGGTGGCACATTACCTAGGTACCTAAGGTATCTTAGGTACCATCTTCTGTACGGACCTTACGTACCTTCCCCCACTTCCACAGTTCCACTGCCCGTCCCCAGTGGTTTTCCCGGCATCTCCAGAAAAAAAATTCTTCCAGTCAAGCGCGTCGGGCCCATGCGAGACGCAGAGTGTCCACGTCCCCGGTCCCGAACAAACCCTGACGAACCAGGAAAGCCCGCCCTGTGCTGATTGAGAATCCCAAAGGTCAAAACTCCAGCGCAATCCGGATCAATCAACGCCTTTCCAACCTCCATCGGCTGCCTGGTTCTTCCTATTCCGTCCACCAGATCGCCTGCTAAGCAGATCCATCACGACAGCCCGCGTCGGACTATCTTTTGAAGAGAGAGCAGAGGTCAGTCAGCCCGATTCATTATTTCCCCTCAACCCCCACGCGCGTTATCACTCGAGCGACTTGCTGCTGTTGCGGCGGCACTGCTGCGATGAATCAAAACCCTCGCAGATGCCATCGTTGTCGCACTATTGCGATTGACGATGGCTACAGAACTGCTCGCATCACAGCTGACTTCCGCGACTCGCCCCTACCTGGAGCTTGTCGCGCGAATGGATGGGAAAACTTTTGAGAACGCAAGCTACCATTCACAATTGTCGCGTCGCAACGAGGGAGACAAGAGAAAAAGCTTTGCAAAATACTAGAGAGTACAGATACTAAACACATAGTTTTTTTAAAACAGTGAATTGAAGCCTGCCTCGAGCTCGAGGACTCACCGCTTAGTCGTGCAACGCAATCGCGACGCGCTCCTGTGCATGCACGAACTCGCACTACACATTTCCACTGACGCGCTTTCTTCTCGTCGCGAAGAGCCTTCGACTTCCTACGTCCACCTTCCGCTTCCCGTCGCGCAACGAGTCCTGACTTCATTTTGACGCAATCCGCTCGTCAACCTTTCGTCGTCTTTCCAGCTGATGCTTAATTGTACACCCGGAAACCCTGAATAATTGGCCCCATTGTGTCTT